GTTCAATGAGCAGATCCAGAGTCATTAATAAGCCTCAGTGTGGGAGAGTTGGAACAAGGGTGATGTAGAGGTCTGTGACTCTGTGACCTCACCTCCCTCCAGAGCTGCAATTTTCATTTCACCTTCAGTGACAAGGACAGCACTAGGTGTGAGAGACTAGACAATAAACAAAATTTTTAGTTGTTAATTGGCAAAGACATTTTTTGAGTTCATTGTGTATTTACCCGGTGGGATAAGGTGTTAGGGAGAGGCATTGAGTTTTCATGATTCCAGAATGGTTACTGGGTCACCTGCGAAAAGTGCTAGAATCTTAGAAGTCAGATTACTGTGAAAGAGAGAAGTCCCTCTGCCCCTTTGGATTCCACACTTCACTGTCTTCTTCCAACACAAACCAACGTTCTTTTTTTTTTTTGAGATAGGGTTTCTCTGTGTATCTTTGGAGCCTATCGTGGAACTCACTCTGTAGACCAGGCTGGCCTCGAACTCACAGAGATCCGGCTGCCTCTGCCTCCCGAGTGCTGGGATTAAAGGTGTGCACCACTATTGCTGGGCACAAACCAACATTCTTAATGATAGAATTTTTTTTTAACATTTATTACTTAAAATATGTGAGTGTTTTATACATGCATATGTGTTTTAATCAAGTCTGCAATTGATTATCTGCTCTCATTTCCTTTCTTATTGACCCACTCCTTATGATATGTGTTCATAAAATCACTAAATTTTAATTTTCTGTTTTTATTTTTATTCTTTAATTTCATTTTACATTCCAACCGCAGTTCTCCCTCTCACCACTGCTCCCAACACCACTTGCCTCCTCCCACCCCTGTCACCTGTCCCCCAGACCAGCCCAGTCCACTCCCCCTCATTGCTAAGGGCTCCCGTGTGGCGTCTACATAGTCTGTCACTATATGTTCCGCCAGGACCAGGCCCTCCTCCTACTGTTGTCTTATTGCTCCAGCTAGAACTCTGAGTACTGTATGGAATAGATAAGCCGAGAGTGGACAGCCTAATCGTGTTCCTGATTTTAGTGGAATCAATGTGAGTACTCATTTTCTCCTGTTGGATTGTTTTTCCAGCACCAGTGTGAGGGGTCTTTATTTATTGCATTTTATTTTGTCATGTTGGTTTTTGTCACTTGTTGGATATTCTGTTCTGAAATGAGAGGGATCCAGAGTGTATCCTTTGGGGAGGAAAGTTTGGTGGAGTTTGGAAGGATTGGACAGAGGGAAACTATGGTTAGCATGTATTATATGAAAGAAGAATCTGTTTGCAACAAAAACATAATTTTAAGGTTATTTTTTAAACTTCATTTTGCATTCCAACCAAATTTCTCCCTCCCAACATTGTTCCCACCTCCCCTCATCTCCCTCCCTACCCACACTCATCTACTACTCCCACAAAGTAATGGCTGACATGGGAAGTTGACCAACCATGGTCCATTAAGTTGACGTAAGACCAAGCCCCTCCAACGTGAATTCAGGCTGAACATGGCATCCCACCATAGGGAATGGGCTCCAACAAGCTAGCTCATGCTCGAGGGATAGATTCCATGCTCGAGGGATAGATTGGTCTGTACTTTCCTATTTTAGTTGTATCTTTGTGTGACTCTGGTATCAAAGTAATTGTGGCCTCGAAAAAAGAATTTGGTAATGTCCCTTCTGCTTGTATTGTGTGGAACAATTTGAGGAGTAATGGTTTTAGCTCTTGATTGAATTCTGGTAGAATTCTGCAGTGAAGCCATCTGGTCCTGAGCTTTTTTTGGTTGGAAGGATTTTGATGAATGTTTCTATTTCATTAGGCCGATAGGTCAATTTAAACTGCTCATCAGTTCTTGGTTTAATTTTCATAAGTGATATCTGTCCAGAAAATTGTCTATATCCTTTAGATTTTTGAATTTTGTGGAATAGGTTTTCAAAATATGACCTGATGATTCTCTGGAATTGCTCATTGTCTGTTGTTATATTCCCCCTTTCATTTCTTATTTTGTTAATTAGTATGCTGTCTCTCTGTCTTTTGTTAGTTTGGATAGAGGTTTATCCATCTTGTTGATCTTCTCAAAGAACCAACTCTTTGTTTCATTGATTCTTTGTAATGTTTTTCTAGTTTCTACCATAATAGAGGGAGACATAATAGGATTAAAGGGAAATCATTCTCTAGGGAACTGTCTAGAGATTTACAAGGATGACACCAACTAACAATGTAAGCAACAGAGGAGAGGCTACGTTAAATGCCCTCCTTTGATAATGAGATTGATGACTAACTTAATGCCATCCTAAAGCTTTCATTCTCCAGCTGATGGAAGTAGAAGCAGACACCCACAGCTAAACACTGAACTGAACTGGAATCCAGTTGCAGACAAGTTGTGATGAGCAAAGGGGTCAAGAAGAGGCTGGTTAAATCCACAGAAAACGCTGAACTGAACAACGGAGAGTTCTTGGTCTCCAAACTGATAGCTGGGAAACCAGCATAGGACTGATCTAGGCCACATGAATGTGGGTGTCAGTGAGGAGACCTCAGAAATCTATCGGGCTTCTTGTAATAGATTAGTACTTATCCATAGCATAGGAATGGATTTTGGGAGCCAATTCCACATAGATGGATACTCTCTGAGAATAGACACATGGGGGAGGGCATAGGCGCTATCTAAAAGTGTATGCCAGGGTCTGAAGACCCCCCATGAAAGGCCTCACTTTCTCTGGGGAGCAGAAAGGGCATGGGATGGATTGGGAGTTAGTGGGGAGGCAGGGGAGGAGGGGAGGGAGAGAGAAGTGGGATTGACATATAAAGCAATTGTGTTTCTAATTTCAATAGAAAAGGAGAAAAAAAAAAGAACACTTGGCCAGGACCAAATTCAGTTTATTTCTATTTAGATCTATATACTTTAGAGAGCTACAATGAAGCCATGGAACATTGGTCATAGTTTTGCACTGTTTCTACCAATTACATTTTTATGCCCTTATCCACCACAGGATGAAAAAATGGCATAAAAGTGGTTTGAGGAACACATGATGGGGCAGGGAGGTTGAGTTGGGGGAACAACAGAATAGAGCAAGATAAGAAATAATATAACAGAGGGAGATATTATAGGTTTAAAGAGAAATCAGGCACTAGGAAAATGTTTGGAGAGCTACAATGATGACACCAACTAACAATCTAAGCAGCAGTGGAGAGGCTGCCTTAAATGCCCTCTCCTGATAATGAGATTGATGTCTAATTCATATGCCATAATATAGCCTTCTTCCAGCAGCTGGTGGAAGTAGAAGCAGAGAACCACAGTGAAACACTGAACTGAACTGGATCCAGTTCCAGAGAAGGAGGACTGAGGAGCAAAGGGGTCCATACCAGACTGGTGAAACCCACAGAAACAGATGAACTGAACAAGGGGAGCTCTTGGTCCCCAGACTGATAGCTGGGAAAAGAGCATGGGATTGATCCAGGCCTCATGAATGCGGGTGTCAGTGAGGAAGCCTCAGAAATCTCTGGGGCCTTTTGTAGTAGATCAGTACTTATCCATAGCATAGGAATGGACTTTCCGAGCTCATTCCACAAAGAGGGTTACTCCCTGAGACTAGACACTTGGGGGAGGGCTTAGGTGCTATCAAAAAGGATATGGCAGGGTCTGAAGAA